GCCCGCACCGCGCTCAGCCAGTGAGCGGGAACCGGTCTCCACATGGGATCCTAACCCTCAGCGGGAGCGCCGCCGCGCACCCAAGCGGGGCACTCTCCAGTGCGCCACCGGGCCGGCCCCTCTTGCTCCATTTCTAATACAGAGTAAATGTTAATTGTGCACTCTACTGGAAGTGAATGTCGTAAAAAGAGAAACAATTTCCTTATTTAAGTAAGGCCTAAACTTGGAATACTTCAATTTTTATTTTTGTCTTATGCTTTTAAATCACAAACACCTCGTTCATATAGAATGCTAATCTTTTGGCATATGTTTCTGCATTAATTTTGGCTTGTGTATATGGTATTTGTGCCACATTGATTGTTTTCTGAAGGTAAACACACAGCCTTTATAACATATTCTTTTAATGCCAAACAAGAGTCATAAGCAACTGGGCTCCACAAAGCATGAGGGAAGTCTGCCCCAGAATACGTATTATAAAATCCACAAATCTGCAAATTAGGGATGTTTTGGTGTTTGGGACTGTGAGAAAAGGAGTAATTTTGTGAAGTAGCAGTTGAAACCATCCATCCTGCAGAGAGGTCAGGTATTTCAGATTAAGTGGAATCTTGGTTTAGGGCTGGAAAAGACTGAATGAGGACTTCCAGTAGCCAAGCATCTGAGAATTGTTTACTCAAGGAGGGAGTCTTTCAATCCCAAGGCTACATTGTTTTCTAAAATAAAACTCCCCAAGCCAATTATCATCTTTTCCTGTTGTTTAAACAATTTGAGTTCTTTCAGGAAGTTTTCCTGGTTGAGCTGAGGAGACTTTAAGAATGAAACTGGGCACTATTAATAGTTATCCTGGAATAATGTGCATTAAGCAGAACTCTCCTGAGCAAACAAGGATATATGACTACATCATGTCACTGTATTGACATGTATTTTTCAAGTTAATGGTTTCCTCCAAGTTTATGTGATGTGTTCAAATATTTCGTGGTTAATGTTCTGATACTCAATTTAAATTTGCTGTTATCTTGTTCTTTGGCCCCGATTTCTAAATATTAACCACATTTCTAATTATGAATGATGCACATTTATTACTCTCCAGTGGATGCTTTCAATCTATGATTTATGTGGCCTCTGTATCCATACAGTACGTGCTTATGTATAGTGCCCAGTCAAGGTCAGAGTTCATATGCTGATTTAGGACTTTTATGAAGATGATGCTGATAGTGATGATGAAAAACTGAATAAGCATCATTTGGATGTTGCATATAGCAATAATATATAAATACTGGTGGTGGTGATTCAGAACAGTGCTTGACACATGGTAGGTATTTTACAATGATTAAATCAACGAATAAATGATAGTGAACATGGTGGTGGTAGTAGTGTTGGTTACTGTCATGGATATGGAGATAGTCAAAGCAGAGGTAATGATGCTGCTGATCTTTCTCATACCATGGTGAGGTTAGTAGTAGGCAAACTGATGATTTACTCCTCACTGGTCACTTGGCTCACCTTATTAGAATAAAAGAGATGAAGCTGATTGAGAAGTATCTCTGGAAAGAAATTTTTAAGAAGATGAATCTCACTTCCCAGATACTCAAGGTGCTATCTTCCACATATGCAGAAGGATATGCAAGTTGGATGGTCTTCCTTCATGAGTAGCTGTAGGGAACTTGCAAAACTTCTTGTGGAGCACAGGAGCAGTGTCTCCCTGGGATTACCCAACCGTGAGGGGTGCAGAGGTAAGAGAAGTCAGGTGGTCTGCTTCACTTCCCTGCACCCAACTTCCTGCCCCAGGGGAACCTTTACTGAGAGCAGTCGCTTAGCAACTCCAGGGAACATAAGCAAGGAGCCCCTGGGAGGCCAGTGTTTCCAGGAACATTATATATACGTAGGGGATTGTCTAGGGGTAGAAAGGATGCTGAGGAGGAGGCTACCAGTTCTAATGTTATCAAGACAGACAGGTAACGGGCAGGGTTGGTGCAGAAGAGATAAGAGCAACTGAAGAAGAGAACTAGGAGAGAGCTTTGACCTTTCCCATGTGAGGCCTATGAGGATGTGGGAGGAAAACTCAAGGAACATTGGTATTGATGTCTGCCAAAACAAGAATACTTTTAAAAATTACTTTAGGGAAAAATAAATTATCTCTGTTGTAAAAGCGTCAGAAACAACTGTTTAAATCTTTTTTATCTAGAGAAGAGGAAGCTGAGGTTAAGTGAGACGTTACTTAACCCCACGTGCATTGTCGGTTAGTGGCAGAGCAAAGCCACACAGTCAAATCTCTGGCTGCAGAGAAGGCTCCTTCTGGTATCCTACCGGGCTTTTCTCTTGAGGGGTTCTGACCTCATGGTTTTCCTCTTTGAGAATTCCTGGCACGCATCTCCTTTTGGTATCATCTTTAAAAGATACAGTGTGTCTGTCAGAATTATCATCAGGCACCATGAACCTGACCTTTTAGTGATTGTCTCCAGAGCTTCTGCATTTCTTTCACTTTTCATTTTTTATTTTTCTAGTCCTAACCAGAATAGTCTATAAGGTCCAAGGAGGCTTCATAAAAGAGGCTTCAACAGTCACTTTTAAGAAATGACTTTTCACTTTTCTCCAGAGCCCAATATTGCTGGTTACTTGGTCATTGGAACTATAAGAGAGATAGTGATGGTAATTTTCTATCTCTCCTGTCATTCGATGGTGGGGTAGGGAAGAAATTCGGTTGCCTCAGTCTCTGTAGCCCATTGTTTTAACTTAGTAAGGATTAAACTGGGATCAGGAGCATTCGTTCCTAGTTCCAGTCCTGTCACCATCAGACTCCAGGACATGGAGTCAATCATTGCTACCTTTGAGACTGCAGTTCCTCTATTGCAAAGTGAGGAACATTGATTAGATAGTTTCCCAATTTCCTTTCTGGTTCTCACATTTGATGTCCTTGACACTGGGAAATTTTTCTGAATGCAGGAAGAAGCTTGTAGTAGTTTATCTTCTATTTTTATTCTTTGTTTCTAGTAATTATGGATCATTTCAACCATACCTGGAGCCAGAGTTTCATCCTTGCTGGTCTCACTCCCAGTGGGACCCTACAGCCTCTTGCCTTCCTGGGGACACTCTGTATCTATCTCCTCACCCTTGCAGGGAACATTCTTATCATCATCCTGGTTCAGGCAGATTCTGGACTGTCCACACCCATGTACTTCTTTATCAGTGTCCTCTCCTTTCTGGAGCTCTGGTACATCAGCACCACGGTGCCCACGCTGCTACACACCATGCTTCATGGATGCTCACCCATCTCATCAACTATGTGCTTTCTCCAGCTGTATGTCTTCCATTCTTTGGGCATGACTGAATGCTACCTGTTGGGTGTCATGGCACTGGACCGCCACCTTGCCATCTGCCGCCCCCTGCACTACCATGCACTCATGAGCAGACGGGTACAGCTGTGGCTAGCTGGGGCCCCTTGGGTGGCTGGCTTCTCAGCTGCACTTGTGCCAGTCAGTCTCACCGCCACTCTGCCCTTCTGCTTGAAAGAGGTGGCCCATTATTTTTGTGACCTGGCACCACTAATGCGGTTGGCATGTGTGCACACGGGCTGGCATGCTTGGGCCCATGGAGCAGTGATTGGTGTAGCCACTGGATGCAATTTTGTGATAATTTTGGGACTCTATGGAGGCATCCTGAAAGCTGTTCTGAAGCTGCCCTCAGCTGCCAGCCGTTCCAAGGCCTTCTCCACCTGTTCCTCTCACATCACTGTGGTAGCACTATTCTTTGCTTCTGCCTTCACAGTATATGTTGGTTCACCTGGGAGTCAAACCAAAAGCACAGACAAGATTATTGCCTTGATCTATGCCCTTTTTACTCCTTTCCTCAATCCCATCATCTATACCCTTCGCAACAAGGAGGTAAAGGAGGCTGTGAGAAGAGTCACTGAAAGGATCAGGACTGTTTTGAGGGAGCCTTGATGATCTCTACTTGTCATAACCCAGATTCTTGGTAACTGAGAATTAGCTGGTTGTTTATACAGTCATCTGGTCAGAATCCAAGTAAATGACAATGAAAGAATCAATAGGAGCATTAGTCGAACATGCTGCAAACACCTACTCTGGGATTGATCAAAGTTGAAACATGGAGAGAGAAAGGATTTATGGTCTCTGATTTCATCCCGAGCTAAAGGGAAAAAAAATTTCACAAAGAAGGAAAAAAGAGGAACACAGAGAAAGCATTTCAGCTTACAGAGATAGCACAATACTGCAAGAAATAATATAAACTAAAGCTATATGAGGAGGCTCTAGTCAAGATAGAATACCTGGAGAAATGTTGAAAAGGTGGAAAACAAGATTGGCAAACGGGATACTAAAAAAGATAAAGGATAAAGGATAAAGGATAGCTTGTGTTAGTTTTCAGGTGTAGAGCAGTAAGCTATGGGCAGAAAGCTTATCAGTTGTTGGAATCCAGTGGTCCTGGGTTATCACGTGACCAAAGGTAGCTTAATGGAGGAAATAACTATCAGGGCAGGTGGCTGGAAGCTACAGATGATAACTTGCCCTCTTATGGAGCAAGAGTAGGGAGGTGAAGTTGTTGTCTTCGTACTCTTCCAGTATCATGGAACGCACCTTAGAAATTGTCTGGAGCCATAAATTAAAAAAAAAGAAAAGAAAAAATGAAAACAAGCAACAAATAAACTAAAAGCTTTTCAAGTTTTATATATAAAGTACACACATACAAAGTGGAAAAGAAATTGAAATAGAAAGAAGAGATAGAGACCTGTAGCTCAGATTACACCTTATCACCTCTGTTCTCAAGCTCCGCCATTGCTTCTTCTGCTGAGCAGAGTTTCAAAATTATTCAATAAACTCAAACTCCATACTGTAATGATTTGTAAATTCTGGGCCAAATACCTGCAAAAGGATGGTCAGATAATTAGCGATAAAAACAGAATCAAAAAACTAGGTACTGTATGGGTCTTGAATATTCTTCATTTTTTAAATTCTCATATATCTCATTGCTAAAAAATCAACGCAATTTTTTTTGGTATTTCTGCCCTATGCCAGAAATAGTAACAACTGCTTTCAAATATGTTTTTAAATTTAATCTTCATAATATCCCACTGAAGAAGATGGAATTATCCCAATATTTGCATAATGAAATTAGAGATATTTCTGGACTTTCAGTAAGGAGGCATGGATTCAATCCTAGACCCACTCCAGCTGGAAGTGGAGCACTTGACAAGAATTCTTTAGCCTCATTCTCTTTTCTGCAAAATGAGTTCCTGGCAGTGGATGAATGCTTACATTCCCTCCAACTTAGGGAGTTTTGATTCTGTGATTGCACAACTTCTTAAAGAAAGCCAGGCCTGAACTAGGCCCAGCTGTGTAAGATCTGAATATCCAGAATAGAGAGGGAAAGGTGTTGGTCCAAATTCAAGTTTTGCTCTCTTTTGCTTTTATTTCCTGGGCAAAAAATATGACCTCTCTCTGACCTCAGTTTTGTTTTTCTTAAAAAATAAATCTTTAACAAAGTGTTCTAAAGATTAAATGAAATAACACATGCTAAGATTCTATTAAGCAATTAGCCTTATTATCCAAGAGAGGGCAGTGGGGCAGTGTAGTAGCCTGAGTTTAAACATTAATTCTACTTGTTGTGTGACCTCAGGGAATACAATGGACTTTCTTATGCCTCGGTTTCCTTATACATAAAATCGGGACAATAATAGAACCTTAAGCACTGTATAAGTAATAATCATTACTACTCCAAAGTTTTTCTACATATATTTCTGCAGTGGGAATTTATTTCCTTAAGAATGCTTAGTTTTACACATATCTTACATCTTCATTACGTGTGGAGTCAGTAGAACTGGTAACATTCAAAATGAAGCATCTCCTTTCTGAGATAAGTATCCAAAGTCATCTTTGCAAAACCTGTGTAGTACTCCTTGCTTTCATAAGGTGTATGCTGTTTTCCTAAATGCAAGGTGCAGGGCTCCATTCTGCTAGCCTGCTAAGCTTGTTGCATTTGGGCTTCTGTCCTGTCTCTCCTTGTGCACTTCACATCATTCACACTACTCTTTTTGCAGGAGTAGTTGTGGGCATGATCTCCATTATTTTCTGTGGTAGCACTAAAAAATGGCTGGAAACTGCTTGTCCTTACAATGCCTTGGGTCACATTAATTAGTAGCTCTGCGGGTCCCTATCTTTGTGGCATCTATCCTGTGAGGTGAGCCTGGGAAACTTACAATCCTGTTGTGCAAACATAAGTAGTCATCTAACAACTCAAGGCAGCATATATCTCACTACTGATTTCTTGCATAATGCTTGGTATCTATATGTATTTGAAGAAATGAATGAATGAATTAATGGACAAGCTCCTAATAGTCAAACGAGTGTGATGGATATTAAGTACCCCTTCTATAATGCCACCAGTAAGTAATCTCTTTCTTAGATCCATTCATAGCTCCAAACTCCCTTTGCCTTTCATTCTCTATCTTTTCCTCTTTTGAAACTTCTGTGGGTCTTTCCCCTTAGAATATATGCTTTACATCATCCTTAGTGCAGAACTTCCCAGCAGAGGTAAGTACTAGGTGTAATGAGTTACAGAGTCCTTGCCCATAAAACATACCTTTTAACCTAAATAAAAAACAGAGAGGGGATCTCTAAAAGAAATTCTGTCATTTGCAGCAACATGGATGAACTTAGAGAAAATTATGTTAAATGAAATAAGCCAGGCACAGAAAGAGAAATACCACATGTCCTCACTCATAAGTGGGAACTAAAATAAATAAAGAGAAGAAAATAAAGAAGAGAGAAAGAAACAGTTTAAAATTAAAAAATAAAAATAGAAAAAAGAAGAACAGAACTGTGGTTATTAACAAAAGTGGGAGGAGAGGGAGGTTAGTAAGAAATTAGTTAAGGGTCACAAAGATTGATTATGCTTCGTAAACATGAGTATACTAATTATATTGATTTGATTAAGAAAATTATTTTATTCGAGAATAGAGCTTTGCAAGGGGAATATGTGTGCCATAGCAAACTCTGAGTGTATTCAGGGAGGTAAAGGAAGACAAAGAGTTTTAAAGGAAAAGTGATGGGTTGATTTCTGGATTCTCTATTCTGTTCCAATGGTGCATATGTCTATTTTTATGCCAGTACCATGATGTTTTGGTTACTATAGTTTTGTAGTATAGTTTAAAGTTAGGTAGTGTTATGCCTCCAGCTTTATTTTTTTGCTCACATTGCTTTGGCTATTCGTGGTCTTTTGTTATTCCATATGAATGTTAGGATTTTTATTTTTCAATTCTGAGAAAAATGTCATTGGAATTTTGATTCAATTGCATTTAATCTGTAGATCACTTTGGATAGTATAAACATTGTCCTAATGTTAATTCTTCCAGTCCAAGAGCATGGGATGTCTTTCCATCTTCTTGTGTCCTCATTAATTTCTCTCAACAGTGGTTTGTAGTTCTCATTGTAGAGGTTTTTCACATCCTTGGTTAACTTTATTACTAGGTATTTTATTTTTTTGGTGACTATTGTAAATGGGCTAGCTTTCTTGATTTCTTTTTCTGCTAGTTCATTGGAGTATAGAAATGCTACTGATTTTTACAGTCATCTGATCTTTGACAAAGGCACCAAATGTACACACTGGGGAAGAGACTGCCTCTTCAGCAAATGGTGTGGGAAAACTGGATATTCATATGTAGGAGAATGACACTAGACCTGTACCTCTCACCATATACCAAAATCAACTCAAAATGGATTAAAGAATTGAATATACATCCCAAAACAATAAAACTCCTTAAAGAAAACGAAGGGGAAACACTCCAGGAAGTAGGAATGGGTACAGAGTTCATGAATACAATGCCAAAAGCACAGGCAACCAAAGGAAAAATAAATGAATGGGATTATATCAAACTAAAAAGCTTCTGCACAGCAAAAGAAACAATTAACAGAGTGAAAAGACAAGCAACAGAGCAGGAGACAATATTTGCAAAATATATATCTGACAAAGGATTAATATCCAGAATATGAGAGGAACTCAGACAACTTAGTAAAAACACAAACAACCCAATTAAAAAATGGGCAAAGGAGCTGAATAGGCATTTCTCAAAGGAAGGTACACGAATGGCCAACAGACGCATGAAAAAATGCTCAACTGCACTCAGCATTTGGGAAATGTAAATCAAAGCCACTTTGAGATACTATCTCATCCAGTTAGGATGACTAATATCCAAAAGACTGAGAATGATAAATGCTGACAAGTTTGCAGAGAAAAAGGAACACTCCTTCACTGTTGGTGGGACTGCAAAATGGTGAAGTCTTTATGGGAAATGGTATGGACATTCCTCAAACAATTACAGATAGATCTACCATATGACCTAGTATTCCACTGCTGGGTATATACCCAGAGGAATGGAAATCATGATGTTGAAGGGATACCTGTACTCTCATGTTTATTGCAGCACTATTCACAATAGCCAAGAGCAGGAACGAGCCTAATGCCCATCATCGGATGAGTGGATACGGAAACTGTGGTATATCTACACAATGGAATACTACTCTGCTATAAAAAGAAAGAAATGCTACCATTCACAGCAACATGGATGGACTTAGAGAAAATTATATTAAGTGAAATAAGCCAGGCATAGAAAGAGAAATACCAGATGTTCTCGCTTATTTGTAGGAGCTAAAAGTAAATAAATAATTAAATATACAAACAAATAAATAGTGCAGGGGAAAAGGCACAGCAAACACAATTCCTTGAACTTAAGACAAATGAACAGATATGATATTGATGGGGGAGGGGGAAAAGGGAGAGGGGAATGGAGGCATTGGTAAAGGGACACAAAAATCAACTACATTGTATATTGATAAAGTAAAATAAAAAATAATTATTGGAAAAAAAGACAGTAGTCTATTAACAGAACAAGAAAATTAAGTGTTAAGTTGCTTGAGTGAAGGCCTCTGAA